CATCACGCTCACAGCAACCTCCAACTCCTGGGCTCAAGCGAGTCTCCTGCCTCAGCCTCCCAAGTAGCTGGGACTACAGGTGCCCGCCACAACGCCTGGCCATTTTTTGGTTGCAGCCATCATTGTTGTTTGACGAGCCCGGGCTGGGGATTCGAACCTGCCACCTTAGGTGTATGTGGCTGGCGCGTTAGCCGCTTGAGCCACAGGCGCCGAGCCGGAAGGTGCATATTTTAACAGATGCTACCAGTTTATTTACTGAAAAGGCCATAGATATTTATCTCCAAATAACTCTGCAGGAGAATGTACTTTGCTCATACCTTCGCAGTATTGGAGGTTAACACTGTGTATAATTTTTTTATCAACTTGGCATGTTAGCTTAATTTTCCTATTTGGTCACTTGAAAATCTTATGATGTACTCATTAGCTCTTTTTATTGTCTCTTCTTTAGATTGTCTGTTCTTACCTTTTATCTGATTTTCTGTTGGATTCTTTATCTTTTTCTTATCAATTTGTGGGAGACCATGGATATGCTCTACACATATTTTATCAATTTCAAGATTTCTGCATTGTTTACATGTCATGTTGGAATGGCAGATGTTAATTAATAGATCAGATTCATTGAAAATGTACCATGCCAGCTTGAGAAGTCCGCTTTGCTTTGGATTTGTTAGCAGTGTTGAGGGAAAGGACTGGTACTGCATATGGTGTATGAGGTCCTATAAAATAAATTGTAAACACAAAATATGCCATTATATGTAATAAAATATAAGCTAAGTAATTGTAAAATATATATTTTTTCAATGAATTCAAGTGAATTCTTCATTTAGAAAGCATTTTGAAACTTTACTGCTGTGATTACGACTTTTACTTTGTTAAACTCCTATTTTATGATGTTCATCAGGTCACTCTATTAAATTTTATAAGTGTCCTATTTAATCCACCTCACTTTTTATTTCTTTCACAATGTGTTTTTCCAACATAATAAAAATGTTCAAACTTATGGAAAAGTTAAAGCAGTTGTACAGTGTACACTCATATGCCCACCACTTAGATTCTCCAGGGAATACTTTGCTCTGTCACATGTGGGTCTCTGTCCCTCCTTTGATTCATCAATTCATCTTATTTTTTGCTGGATTTCAAAGTAAGTTGCACAAGCATCAGTATATTTTCTGAACACTTCAGTTTGAAAATAATTGACAAGTTCAGTAGTTGCTTAGGATTTTTTTTATTTTTGAGGTAAAATTACATGAAATGGATAATTTAGCATTTTATATAGTTTCATGAATGTGTAACATTATGTAACCCAAATCCCTCTAAATTTGCCTGTTCTAGAACTTCAAAATAATGGAATTATGTATTTGTACTCTTTTGTACATACCATGTCTTTGAGATTTATTAACATTATTGCATGTAACAGTAATTTCTTTTTTAATGCTTTGTAGTATTGTTTGAGGTGGACATTTCTCTTTTTAGTATGAATTTCTAGTTGAGGGACTATTTGTTTTCTTTTTAGATCATTTTTATGTCTTTGTCAAAAATCAAGAAGGAGACAGGAACAGTGGCTCACATCTGTCTGTAATCTCAGCGCTTTGGTAGGCCAATGCAGGAAGATTACCTATGGCTGGGAGTTAAGAGGTTACCCAGGGCAACATGCAAGACTCTATTTCTACAGGAAATTTTAAAAAAGAAATTAGCCAGATGTGATGGCAGTACCTGCAGTCCTACCTTCTCAGGACTTAGCTGGGAGGATCACTTGAGCTCAAGAGTTCAAAGCTGTAATGAATTTTGATCACACCACTGCACAGTAGCCTCGGTGACAGAGAAGGACCCTCTCCCTAAAAAGGGGAAAAAAAAGTCTGGTGGGCAAAAATGTGGGCTTGTTTCAGGGCTTTCTATTCAATGCTTGCTTATTGTATGAAGTACGCATTTTTCTCCATACGAATTTCCAGATGTTGCAGTGCTGTTTGCTAAAGAGTTTTGCTTTCCCTTTGAACTGCTTTGCTACCTTTGTCAAAAGTCAAAAGACCATGTGGATTTATTTTTAGCTCTCTATTCTGTTGACTTATCAGCCCTTACGCCAGTACAATGTTGCCGTGATTACTGTAGCTTTTTAGTAAGTCTTGAAGTCATGTAGTCTAAGTCCTTCAGTGCTTCTTTTTCAAGATTTTATTCCATATTCTAGATTTTTTGCTTTTCCATATAAGTGATAGCATCTGCTTGTCAATATCTATAATGAAGCCTCTGTTATTTTGACTAGACTTATGCTAAATCTATAGGTTAATTAGGGGAGAACTGATAACAATAGAGAGCCTTCTAAATCATGAATATGACAGCTCACCATTTATTTATATTTTCTTCAGTTTTTCTTAGCAGTGGTTTATAGTTTTCAGTTACATATTTAATTTATAATGGATTTAAAACCTGTAACTCTTTTCTCTTCTCCTTCCTGTAGGCTCCGGATCCGTATCACTGTATGAGGTCGAAAGATGTCAACAGCTATCTGCTACAAGTAAGACCATAGACCATTGTTTAGGTGCAGGCACAGTAATGAGCAGAGTAGTTGTCTTTATCGTTCCTGACTGATCCATTCCTGTCTAAGAGTGAGAACATACACCCATGAGGGCAAAAATATGTCCATATTTACGTTTCTCCTCCCCCATCCTACATTGGAATAAAATTGAACTCATGAAGATACATAGCTTTACATTGAATGCATATTTTAAGTCATATATTTCTAAAATTTATAAAAGATATTACTATACTTTCAATAGTGCGATATATTTTTAGCTTTAGTACATAAAATATGTTCTATGACATTAATTTTAATCAATTCACGTGATACATTTAAGAGTGTGCCATGAAGGAGCTCCTTTCAGTGATGCCCCAAACTTTAATGTTAGCAATGATAATAGATCTATTACACACTTCTGTTATTTCAGTTAAGATAAAAAAAATTCCAGAAGAATCCTTTTTGAGCAGATGTCTATTAAATAATACATTATTATGAAATACAAGTTTCTCATATTGGAGAAAGAAGATACAAACTTGGAATGGGAGAAGGCTGAGTGAGAACTTGAGGTATTGGAGGTCTGTAATGTACTTGTGGTTTCATAGGTAGATACAGAAATACATATACAGATTTAGATATGTGTATGCATAACGGATATATAAACTCCCCTGCATGAATGTAGGGTGCATGTGTGTGCATCTGTATGAATGTGTATTGGAGGTCCGTAATGTACTTGTGGTTTTATAGGTACATACAGAAATACATATACAGATTTAGATATGTGTATGCATAATGGATATATAAACTATATGAATGTAGGGTGCATGTGTGTGCATCTGTATGAATGTGTATTCATATATGCCCTGTCTCTGTCAGTGAAGGGAAGAGAGACAGTGGCCCTCTAGTTGCAGTGAGCACAGCTCATGCACAGATCTTGGTTTATAAATAGTATTTCTCCCTAAAATGGATCAGCGTTCCCTGGAGAAATCACAGATTCTAGGACTAGGACAAGGAAATTACAAGATTAGTCTGGAACATCTCGTAATGCCCAAAAGTAAACAAGTTCTCAGTGATGGAACATAACAATTGGCATATGATAAACCAGGTCAAATCTGGGACAATTTGAGCACCAAAATAAATATTAGCGATGGATTAGAAATCATTGAATAAAGTATGATTACATGAGCCTGTGTTAATAATAAACAAAATAAAAACAAATAAATGGGGTTGAATAGAAATCTATTCCTTAAAGTAGAATGGCAATTAATAAAAGGAGTGATGAAATTAGAAAAAAATCACAGTTTTACAGTTTTACACAACTGTTGATTTAGTTGTGAATCAGTGGATTCCAAACTATCAAGATGCTAAATATTTGATGAAGAGTGGGATATTTACCTTTTCCCAAGCACTTTCTTACTAATTACGAGGGCAAATAGCAAGTTTATAATTGAGAAACCTGTTGGACACCACCTTAGCCAGGTGAACAGAATTAGAGCCACAGTTACAGAAACACTGACGTTATGTGACTCTCGATGTGATGCACTGAGAAGCACACAATACCATTTATTTATTTCTGAAAAAAATGCATAACCTGAATCTGAGCATGAGGTAAAACCAGACATGCCCAAATTGATATTTATTTTACAAAATAAATTGCCTGTACTCTTCAAATGTATTAATGTCATGAAAGGCAAAGAAAAACTGAGGAGCCATTTCGCATTAAGTCCAGAGACATGAAAATAAATGTAAAACATTGTTCAGGATTAGATCCTGGACCCAAAATAAAATGCTAAAGAGAACATTTTGGAAACAACTAGAAAATCTTGAATACTGTCTGTTGAGTTGATAAATGGTCTGATATTGAAAATTGCACTGAAATTATGTCAATAAAATGTCTTCATATATAATATACACTGGAGTATTTAAAGAAAAGGGCTATAATTTGTGGAAATTATTCTCAAATTATTCAGTAGAAGGTGACAGAGATAAAAACAGACATGAGACAACAATAAATGTGCCAGAATGTTAACAATTGGTGAGTCTTGGTAAAGGCTATACAGAAGATCTTTGTATTATTTCTTCAATTTCTTTTTAAGTTTAAAAGTATTTTTAAATGAAAAATTAACCTCCAATTTATATAAATTATCAACACATTGAATCCCATAATGGCATAAATATATTCATGATCTATGTACAAATGACTTAATAAAAAAAAGAAAGAAAGAAAAAGTAATAACTTTATCATAAAATGTCAGTTTGAATTAATTGCCACTATCACTAAGTATTTTACCCAAAATTAACAAAGTCTGCCTATGACTTAAAAAAAAAAAAAAAGGAAAAGAAAAGAAACCGTATTCCTCTGTAAATTCTTGGCCATTTGCTCCTTGAAGAAAAATTAATTCAAGAAGAGTTTAGTTGGATTCAAGCTAGATTCAGAAAGGAATTGTCCCACCCTTTGAGGTTCAGGAGGTATGAACACAGCATACCAGTGTTAAGCTGGAAGGTATAGCATGCAGGTAGGCCTGCGGTCTTATCAGGGTCAGCAGCAATTTTACACTTGCCCGATATAAATTGCCCACTGTAGTCCCAGGCTTCTTTCCTCAGCTAGCTGAGGAGACTCTTCATTTCTCATGGAATTGTCCCTCATGCTTTTATCTGACTTCTCTTTTTCTAGTGTGACTCTAATTTCTCCTCTTTTGCCTCCCTCTCCTTCTCTTCTCTTTCCTCCCACCATTCCCTAAACTTCTTCTTCACTAACTATTCCACCATGACAGCTGGGTCACTCCTAATGTCCTCACTGGTAACAGTGTGATTCTGTAATTGACAGTTTGGTAAAGAGTCGTTAATTTCAAATACCAGGGACAGAAGCTTGACAGATACTTAGCAAATATGTTATGTTACCTTTTTTTGTAGCAAATAGCAATTAGAACTTTAACTGTTGCCTATCACAGATGTCTAAGAAATCAGTATTTTAGTTAATATTTTAAAATGTTTTACAAGTAGCATATTAATTTCTTGGTTAAATAAACCTCAGTGTTTTCCCTGAGTTATCCAGGAGTAGTCCTATATAAAGATTTTTTAAATGCTTAATAGAGAACTTAATTCTTCCTTTCCAAAATTATCCAGCATTTATTCTGCAGACATTTGCTGAGTATCTGCGGTGCCTGGCACTGTGCTGCTGTGCCTTCAGTGCACATCAGGGAACAAAGGTGTAACTCTCCTTTTCATGGAGTTGACAGTTAACAGAGCTTAAGTTAATCAGATTTAGGGGACTGTATGTTGGGAATATACTTATGTTTCCTGTGATTATTTTGATTTAATACAAAAACTCTTTGCAGTACTTACAGATCATCAATATTTAGAGAAAACACCTCTATGTGCCATTTTGAAACAAAAAGCTCCTCAACAATATCGCATCCGAGCAAAATTGAGGTCATATAAACCCAGGAAACTCTTTCAGTCTGTTAAACTTCTTTGTCCTAAATGTCATTCACTGTAAGTATTTTCCATAGTAAAACAGAAGTTTTTATTTCTAATTATTTGTGTATGTACTTGGACATATATTTAATTTTAAGTCCTCAGAATAAGTAGTGATTTTTTTATAGTTGAAGGACTGTTAATGTTCTCAAGGGAAAATACTAAATTCTTAGAAAGGAAGTCCTTACGGTTCTTTCTTAGTACCCACTTTTATTTATTATTTTTGTCAGATCAGAAATTTAACTTCGTAGCTCTGATAAATACAGATGGAAAATAATAAATTATGAATGTGTTTGGAGAGACTTTCTCATATGCCACAGAAGTATCTTCTTAAATATAAAATAACTGAATTTTTTTGAAAAGAATTCTAAGTAATGAAGTAATGCAGAAAGACTTGTTGGAAATATTTCTGTCCTGGTTAATAACTAGAATATAATATATAAGTTAAATTTTATTTTGTAATTGAGAATTTATCAGTGTTTTTATTTCAATTATTATATAAATAAATTTATGAGACTGTTCTATAATCTTGTTACTATACTACCAGCATAAGACATACTCTGAAAATTACTCTTGGCTTGGCGCCTGTGGCTCAAGTGACTAAGGCACCAGCCACATACACCTAAGGTGGCGGGTTCGAATCCAGCCCAGGCCCGCCAAACAACAATGATGGCTGCAACCGAAAAAAAAATAGCCGGGCGTTGTAGCCGGGCGTTGTGGCAGGCACCTAGTCCCAGCTACTTGGGAGGCGGAGGCAGGAGACTCGCTTGAGCCCAGGGGTTGGAGGTTGCTGTGAGCTATGCCATGGCACTCTACCCAGGGAGACAGCTTGAGGCTCTGTCTCAAAAAAAAAAAAAAGAAAATTACTTTTAATCCCTGTTCATTTTTTTAATGTAATTTGCCTGTTTTTTCTCTAAATATATAAAAGTATGTTTTTTTAAATGTAGGCAATTGATGGATATGTACATTTGGATACTATATATTAAATTTTCATTGTAACATGCTACAGTGTATAAATGCACACAAATGCCTTTATATATTTGTATGTTTATATATTGTTTGTGAATGTCTGTGTATTAATGTATATATGTTTTTCCCTGCAAAATACGAGTATAATATTATTTGAAGAGTCTTTTTAAAGGATTTTAGATAATTCTTCATGTATTATCAAATTTCATTCGTTGAATTCTATAAAATCACATAGCTTTACAAAATAAAACTACCCTTTATGATCATTTTTAAGCAAATAAGGACGTTGTGTCAGAAAATAAAGACTACCTAAGGTTACATAGCTAGTTGGTGACAAGCAAGGCAAATGATGCCAAATGATGCCATTTCCACTACATGATACTTAACCATGTGACTTTAAAAAATCATTAATTTCTAAAAGATGGCCAGATATGTTTGCTCATGCCATTTAATCCCAGAACATTGGGAGACCAAGGCAAAAGTTGAAGAACAGCTGGGCAACATAGCAAGACCCCATTTCTACATAAAATTAAAGAAAAATTATTAAAGGAAATTGAAAGCAATATTGGCTTAATATATGCGCTCTTTTACTTAAGTAATAAGTGGATATTTAAATGTAGTGAAGACAATATACTGCTTCATTTTTTAATCTCACTGGGAAGTTTAGCATTCCTTTTAAAAGAGAAAAAATTTGTACTAGAAATAATTAACTTTCCATGAGGGTATCACAAAACAAGACATGGAAATTGCCACTAGTTAATACAATTATGATGTGGACATACTTAGCCACAAAATAGCAAATATGTATCTGTTGAATAAAAGTTATTTAGTCTACAAAGTGAAATATCTCCATAATTTAAGGAAAAGTAGCTGACTCATCTGCATATAAAACATTATCTTTTAATTAAAAAATGTGTTAAATTGGAATTTTCAAGCTTATAGAAAAATTGTTTTCTATTTCATTGACAATGATTTTAGGCAAGAAGTTCCACATGAGGGCAATTTGGATATGATTTTACAAGATGGTGCAACTAAAACCCAAGATGACAAACTACAAAATACATTATTATATGATTCAAAAGTCTGGACCACGGAAGATCAAGGAGGACGAAAAGTAGCTGTTCATTTTGTGAAACATGGTGGTATTCTTCCACTTTCAAATGAATGTCTAATTTTGATAGAAGGTAGGATATTTAAGTTACTGTTTTGTTAGAATACTGCTTTTGCATATTTTGTATAATTAATTAGAGTTAAATATATTTTATAGGCAACCTATTGCATGTAGTGTAAAACTAGTGTTAAATTTCATTAAATGGAATGAATACATGTTATATACATTAACTAGATTCTTATATATCTAATAGACACACAGTCTTAAAATTATATATTAAACTCAGGTGTTTACATTCGCCCATGTTGTTTGTTTCCTGCATATAATTTTGTTAATTCTGTGTTGATTATACTAAAGAGGCTGATTGCTTATGTACACTTGCTATTTTCTTGGCCTCTGGATGTCACTGTTGTTTCATAAAACTAGAGTGAAAATATCTATTGATATCTAAATCAAGACAGGAAACAGTGAAACAAGTAAAGGTGACTTAACAAACAGAACAAAACTTGTCATGTTTATTTTTTCATCTCTTTTATATTTTTGTCTAATTTTTTATTTAATATTTGTCTATTATAAAAACATTCTTGTCATGCCAAATTTGAAGTTTAATTATTTTCTTTGAGCCTTTTCCTTCATAACTTTTCTGAATAAGGGAAAAACATCATAATCAATTTGCATTAGAGGAATACTTAGTTTTACTTTATAAATGAACTTGCCTTTGTTATGTATTATCATTTTGTTGCTGACATTTTTATCATAAAGTTAATATGTAATCATTTTAGAAAATATGAATGTACGTGGATATACATGGATATAAAGATTGGTATTGCTTTT